GGGATGTTACGCTGGAACGTGCCGGAAGCTGTCCGTGTTTTGGCGCAGCGTGGGTTACTCGGTTGTCGCCTGGGTACGTTTCCTGTTGCTTGGCTCCACGTCTGCGGTGCTTGTCTCTCCCTCCGTCTGACACTCGCTTTGTGCTCCACTTGCAGACGCGTGGTGCGCAAATCCATCGCCAGAGTCCTGACTGTTATCAATCAGACCCAGAAGGAGAACTTGAGGAAGTTCTACAAGGTGAGTCCAGACGCCTTACCCAGTGGTCTTTTTTCTCTTACTGTTTTCGAATACATAGTTTATAGAATCATGGAACGGTTTGGGTTGGAAGAGATCTCAAAGATCATCCAGTTCCAACCCCTCTGCCATGGACAGGGACACCTTCCACTATAGCGGGTTGCCCAAAGCCTCATCCAGCCTGGCCGTGAACACTTCCAGGGATGGGGCATCTATAACTTCTCTGGGCAACCTGTTCCAGTGCCTCACCACCCTCAGAGGGAAGAATTTCTTCCTTAGATCTAATCTAAATCTACCCTCTCTCAGTTTAAAGGCATTAGTTTATAGAAAGTAACTAATTTTGTAGATTGTTACTTAAGAGCTTAAAACTTCAGAGGAAGATACTCACTTGTGGTCAGTCTTAAAGTTCTCTGGTCATGGTTCCGTTTTAAATACTACTGCGTGCTCTGTAAGCTTTTGCCAGGATAGCTGCCCGAGCAGCATCTCCCCTCTGGGGAGTAGTGTACTTTCTACAAGATGCAGTTTTCAGAAATGCAGATGCTCTCCTAAATTGTAGTCGTGTTGCAGGTGACCAAGGGATTCTTTATCTCAATAAGTTCCTGTAATTTTTACAATATTACTTCTTGAGATTTTAATTATATAGAATAGGAAAAAAAGAACTTTTCAAGAGGTGTTGGAAAACTGGGACTTGCAAGATCAAGCATTACTTAAACCTGAGTCAAAGTTAGTGCAACTGGTACAAAAGTTAGAATCACCTCGTGTTTTCCAGTGGAGGGAATTTCTCTGGGAGTTTTAGACTGTCACGATAGTCCAAATAAAAAGAAGCTTAGAGCGCTGCTGCTGTTCTTACAGGCAGCTTGGCCCTCCGAGCCGTGCGCCTGGTGGCTCTCACACAGATTGCAGGCTCTCACACTCAGCTGTGTGTGTTGTTCCAAACAGGGCAAAAAGTACAAGCCCCTCGACCTGCGGCCGAAGAAGACTCGTGCCATGCGGCGCAGGTTAAACAAGCACGAAGAAAACCTGAAGACCAAAAAGCAGCAGCGAAAGGACCGTTTGTACCCTGCCCGGAAATACGCCATCAAGGCGTGAGACTGCAGCGTGCGGAACGTTCTCAGTTGTGTCGGCTGAGTGTGTCTCATTAAACAGAGTTTTGTTGGAAGCTGTCACGAGTGGTTTCTTTGGTAGCAGTGGGATAAAGAAGGCAGCAGCTTTATGAGGAGAAATCAGAGGATTCACAGATTTATTTGAACTTTTATTGCTAATGAAAACAATAACATAATTGCAGTTTGTTTTCCTTTTTGAAGAACAGGTGAATGAGTACAGATCTGTGAAGCTTGTTCAACGTAGCATGTAAGACGTACTTAATTTGAGATTGGCCTAGAATGGAAACTTCACACAGATGTTTACAGTGAGTCGGGTTTACAGTTCAGCTCTTGGGTGGCTTAAGAGTAAAGGTTTAAAGCTTTTGTGCCAGTTTTCAGGGGTTATGGAGGGGAACTAATTGGCTGGGGTGTTTTCGTGGAATTCATCAAAACTGAGGAATTCCGCCAGCGCTTGTTTTGGATCTCTGCACAACTACTTGTAGTGCAAACAATCCCTGTCCATCCTGGTGCAGGTGGGTGCCGTGAGCAGTGATTTGCCGGGCTGAGCCCCCTGACCTGCTGGCAGATGGCATCAGGCAGACCCCTCACGGGCTGCTGGTCACTAGTCCGGGCACCGCTGCCCACAGCTGCGGCAAGGAGTAGCCAGAGAGCTGCTGCAGCCTCCTTCCTAGGAAACTTCCTCAGTGTTGGGTGGGAAGCCAGGTTCTGGCATCATCTCTTGGCAAACAGCTTCTGGAAGCAAGAGGGTGCTCTCAGGGTGCAGGTGAAGGCCCCACCCAACATCACCCGCCAGCAGAGGCACGGTTTGGATATGGGATGTTTGGTCTGTGCCCGTCCGCGCAGGGGCCCTGCGGCAGCAGCACGGGTGCTGTGAGGTCTGCAGGCTGAGGCTGTGCTCACCACGGGAGTTACGAGGGAGAAGGGGACGTGTTTCTGGGGGTGTGCAGGTATTCTGGATGAGAATAGTCGAGTCAGGCTGCTGTTGGCATGCAGCGTTGCACGTGGCAGGAGGGGAAGAGAGGAAGCTCGGTTCCAGCAGAAGTGTTAGGGAAACGTAGGGGGTGTGATACTTCCACACCAAGTGGGGTTTTTTTTGTGTTTGAAGACTGAGGTCAAATGAAATCGGGATGCCAGACTAGAGGAAAGCTGGTTGAACCAGGAAGGTTTTACCTCTGAAGTTTCAAGGCGCTCCCTGGTCTCACAGTTCCACCCTCTCACCCACGAAGCACAGAACTGGTTAAATGGTTGGACTTCCTGTCCCCCATGGAGTCCTTTGGAGCTGAGAGATGGAGCTGCGATTCCAAAGGCCTTTTTTGGTTCCGATGTAAGGCAGAGTTACGCAGTGCTCGCAGTTAGCGATGCAGCAGTCATGCTTTGTGTTAGTGGAGCTAATTTATTCTAACACCAGAAATTCTCTGCCCACTAGGGAGTCCTTAGATTGGATCCAGACTCTGTTTAGGAAAAAGATCTTGATTCTGCTTGCTGAACTTAGCAGAGATCTGAAGGATTTTTAAGCCTTAAACCAGTTTTAACCAGAGAGGAGTCTAGTTACGTGTGGTGAAGTGAATTTCCCATCTATTGAGCCGTTGGGAGGGATAGCTGCGCAGTGACGCCAGTCCTGGCGGTGCGATGGCTTTGTCAGGAGCTTAGTGTGGACCCAAGCACGGCACGTTTGGCAGCGAAAGGGGCCCAGCCTGGCAGAGCTCTGGGCCCAGGCCCGGGGTGGGTCTGGGCTGCGGAAGCGGAGCGTTGTGTGCGGGAGCTGCCCCTTTGGCTCATGTCCCTGTTGCCAGGAAGGCGGGCAGGGTTGCGGGATGCTTTGCCTTGCTGTTTCCCAATGTCCTCCAGTGGCCAGCAGCAAGCTGCTCCTGGAGGAGTGCTGCTGTTCACCTGGCACACCTGGCCCTCCTGCCCTCCCTCCCTCCGGAAGAAGACGGAGCACACCACTGCCAGGATCCCAGATCCACGCACTCCTGTCCCAGGAGCCTGATCCCTGAAAGAGGCAGGAGAGAGGCTGGGCCCCTCTCCTGGGAATGGGGCAGGCTGCTGCTGTCGGGTCATGCCAGGCTGTCTTTGGGTTTCTCTTTTGGAGAGCGTTGTGTTCCCCGGTGCTCCTCCGGCAGCGCGTCCGAGGGGAGCCTGATGGCTCTCGCCAGCGTTCCTGACATGGAAAAGTAAACAGAGGTAACGTCGCCCTGGTGGCCTTCCAGAGTTCTCTCCTGGACGGCGGTTTGGAAGTTCCTGGCTCTGACTGTGTGACCTGGGAGCCAGTTGCCTGTCTACAGGGAGTGTGAGCTGTGGGGTGGTTTGGAGATGAGGGTGGGAAGAAGGTGAGTGCCGTGCAGAGCCTCTGAGGACAACATCAGAGGGTGCTTCAGGTGAAACGGGGCTGTCACCTGCCACCCCCAGCCATGAGAGTGGCAGCACTGCCCAGAGGGGATCTTCTGAATGATCCGACTGTGATACAGATCACGAACATGGTATCTACTGGTCAGTAATGAGGGGAAAAAACAAAAAAACCCAACATCTAATTACCAGGCACTGAACATCCAAGGAGAAGTCCCAGATTTGGAGAGCAACGCTGCGCCCAGAGAGCACTCCTCAACATGTCACCAAACTGCAGAGAGAAAACGAAGAGCAGTGTGAAACTGGTATCTTGGAACACCCCAGAGTCCCAGCTGGGAGGGTTTTGGTGGGAGTTGTGTGTCTTTGCAGTTCTACAGGGTGCAGGGTGCAGTTACAAAGGTGGAATAATTCAGGTTGGAAGGTTCCTCGAGGTCTTCAGTGCAACCGCCTGCTCAGAGCAAGGCCGCCTTTGAAGGCAGATCAGGCTGTGCAATTTCTCAAGTATCTCCTGGGGGTTTCCATTACCACCTGCTGTGCTTTCGAGGCTTTTCTGTACGCCCTGGAAAACGGAGAACAAAACTGGGCGCTCAGCTTGGTGCCACTTCAGCCTGCCCCGCTGCGTGGCACTGGGCTGGGGCACAGCGTTTGCTGCCCCTGGCACGCTTTGCCTCTGCCTGCTGCGCGGAGGGCGGCTGTGCAAGCGTGGCACCGCTCCTTCGGGAGAGGGGGCTCTGGCACAGCTCTGCTGGCGGGAGGGGGAGTGGGTGACCT